AGATTCGTGACGTGACCCTTCTTGATGGGTAGCACTAACAGGAAAATTCTGGCACATTTAAAAATCAATATAAATGTAAAAACCAAAAAAAATTTTAAAAAGTAAAAACCAATAATGAATACTAAAGGAAGACACAGTAGTGAGGCTCTTTTAAAACGGTTCCATTTTGCAATCCAATATCATCTTCCATTAAGGGTGAGTGTCTACATCGTTTGACTATGCTCTTTTAATTGAAAACACAACACTTAATGTTGTTTGCTCAACAGCAATGTTTGAGAATTCTTCAAGGCCCATCTCATGTGCAAGAAGTTTTTTCATCTAAATCTAGAGGATGCATATGTACAACTAGTTTCCAATTGATAGTGATATATATATCAGATATATATATCTGATCTGCTGATGACAAAAGGAGAGTGAGAAAAGCAAAATACCATCATTTGGGATAAAGGCAAAAGTGGAAACAGGTAAAATTATTTCCTTACTATGAATCATATATTAATTAAGTTTTCAGGATTTCAGTACCTTGATAGAAAACTAGGTAAGGACTTGTTAATTACACAGTTCAACTTCCTTTCCAAGTTCATTCTTGGGAAAAAATGAACACTGTGCATCTAATTTGGATTAATTTAGATGTTAAATTCAAGACATTTGCAAAGCAAAATTAAAGAATTTAACCTGTCCAGTTTGAAACTTTCCCAAGGTCCAAACAATGACAATATTATGTATCCAGTGTATAATGATGAGTTACCAAGTCATCTAAACTACTGAAAATAAGTGGAATAAATAACCACCATTCATTATTCCTGAATCCACAGACTGCTGAGTCCGTCTTGGACATATACACAGCTGAACATACACTTCCTGGTTATGTGCAATGTGCATAGATAGACCAGCTTTGCAGGCCTGACCACAAGAGATTAATAGCTGTAGCCAAATAATGTGGTAACCATGTGAACCTGGGTTGCTCCAGCTTGTTTGTGAATCTCTCAGCAAGGCTCAACATGCCGTTATCTGCATCTTGTTGCCAGGAAACACATCGTTTTTGGAATACAAGGAAAACCAGGTTGCAATGACCACGGGTCAATATCCCAAAAGCCTAATTTTTGACACTTAACTATCAGTTCTTGGAACATTTCTTCCTACAGTCCATGGAGAATGTATCTTTATTAGTAATTAACAACTATACATTTTGCTATTTTTATCAGAACAGAACCAGAAGGTAGCACTTATTATCATTAAAAATGTAGAAGTAATTATAATAGTTCACTCATGCTTTTCCTCTAAGTGTCAGATAAACAATAGTTTATTTCATTAAAACTGACTTGCAAACAAAGTATCCACTGCAATTATTTTAAAACCAATCCAATAATACATGCTAATGGGTCTATATCTATTCGTTATCATAGTAATCTTAACAAAGGATAATATACTCAATATACTGCTGACCTAAGAGTTCCTGGATTTTCTGGGATCACAATGCCTCTCTTGCCTGCTCATAGTAACAGAATGTAATGTGTTGGACAATAATCTTGTTAGTTTCTTCCTGATCAGTTTAAACAGATAGAAACGTAATGTTCCAAGATGCTGAAGTATTCAGCATGCTGGAAATTTGCTTCTAAAGAGTGAAATGGGAGGCCACCGTTCTGCAGTTTTGCAACCTGGAGAAGGATTACAGTGTGGCTTTGAGCGTTTATAAAATTAATTGCCCTTGACATAGCAATTGCTAGTTTATGGGCAGTAAAAGAGATGTTGGACAAAAATTTATTTACAAGATTTTAAGGATAAAATGGGAAACATTTTCTCTCATCCAATGCTGGCTTTAAAAATCAAAGTTAAAAGTGCTTTAGTTTACTAAAAAACTCAAAACTCACCGCCATGGAGTTGACTCCAACTCATTGTGGCCCCCAAAGCAGGGGAGAACTGTCCCTGTGGGTTTCCCAAACTAACTCTTCACAAGGATAGAAAGCCTCATCTTTCTCTCACTTGGTTTACTAACGGATCTAATGGGCTTCAGCTACCCCAACACAGTAGAATCGTCGTTATGTTGTCAAGATAATACATTCATGGTCAAGAACTACATTCTTTATATGACCTTACTTTTGTCGAAGGAATCTGTATAATACCTTTCAGCATGGCCTAATTCGGTTTTTCATCCTGTTCCAAACTTCTCGGGTGATCATAAAATGCAAATTCCAGACACCAGGTAATTCAGATTGCTAAAAAGACAGAGTCCCTGGGACGTGTGCAAATGGCCAACATGCTTTTTTGCAGTTACTAACCAAAAGGAGTTTCAGAGTGTACCCAGAAGTGGCTCCCACTAAAGGCCTAGCAATTAATCACCACAAAATCAGTCAATTAAAAAAGCAGTGGAACACAGTTTCATTTTAACACACATGAAGTCAACATGACATTAAAAAATGGAATGAGAAAACATAGGAATGGAAAGATGGACAAAGTTGTGATTAAAGCATACATAGCAAAAGGTTGTAGAACCTAAGAGGTGGGTACAAAAATGTGTATTCAATATACAAGTCTTTCAATCATTCTATATGTTGGAAAACTTTCATTAAAAAATACTGGAGGAGAAAGGACACATATCTGTGCACTATACTATGAGAGGGCTTTGAAGGGTTGTGGAATAATGGAATTAAAAGACAATGGAATTGTCTCATGAATTTTTTGAAGCCTCCTCATGGGTAAGTGAAAACGACTTGTCCAATACTAAATGGGATGAGAGAGAAAATAAATTAGTTGTTTTGTTTTTAAAGTCCATATCAGCAGACTAACAAAAGTAAATGATTTGGAAATGGTTTATTACCACAACTTGCCAGCTCTCTGAGCACCAGGGTAATAGTAATACAAGAACAAGGTGATTCACAAAGGAAGTTTTTCTCTTGGACTTCTGGTTTATTTAGGACTCTGTATTTTCCCCCAGATGGGGCACCCCTCACAGTATATCAGACTATTCCTTATTTGGGAGGCTTTCAGGCCTCCCAAGTCAGGTAGATGAACAGAAGTGCTCTTTTCCCATGTAATTTCAATTCTGTGCTCATGGTCATACACAAACAGGTATTAATATCATGCCTGTTGCCTTTTTACACAAGAGAAACTACTTAGAAATATTAAGATTAAAACATGTTACACAGCCATTTTTGCACTACCAAAAATGGAGCCCTGGTAGCTCAGCGGTTAATGCTCAGCTGCAAACTGCTTAAACCTAACAACATCTCTGTGGGAGAAAATGCAAAGTCTGTGTCTGTAAAGATTCCAGCCTTTGAAACCCAATGAGGCTGTTCTACCCTGTCCTACAGGATCACTGTAAGTCTGAATGTTCTCAATGGCAACAAGTTTTGGTTTTGATGCAACTTTACATGCTGTAACTATCATTTTCTTCTTTATTTTGAACTTCAATTAAAGAACTTCAGTTTCCTATCAGAGTGAGTCCAGTCACAAACAATTTATATATATATAGATATATCTATTTCTATATATACACACACACATCGTATACACTCGAGTATAAGCCGACCCGTAAATCAGCCAAGGCACCTAATTTTACCACAAAAACTGCATTAAAAATGTGAAAAACTTGCCTATACGCGAGTATATACAGTATGTGTGTGTGTGTGTGTGTCTATCTTACATAGCAAAGCAAACTAACTGTTATAAAACTTTTCCAGGAAGAAGTAAGATAGTGCCTGGCTATTAGAAAGAATAGCATCAGGGTCAGAAAAGCTTGTCTTAAAACAAGCAGCCTTCTCTAAGAGAGGTGTCAGCTGAGTCCACTCAGAAGAAGCATGCCAGCCTGTGAGATTCAAGGATTGTAAATAATAAAATCCAAGACAGGAGGAGAGAATGGTATAAGAGCTTAAATTCTAACCATCTGGTTTGCTTCGGATGACAGTGTCAAAACCCATTTTCATGGTCCCCACATAGATTAAGTCTTTCGTGAAGCCCTCTGACCATCGACCTGGGATACCAATAGCCTTGCTTATCAGACAGGGTGCACTGGAAAGTGGACTAATACAGATGTAGTTAGGATTTAGCACTTTATCATTTGTTCTCTTTTGACCCATTTTAAGTTTATTCCAGTTTTTATTATTTTCTGCTTTCTTTTCTATTGACATTTTTCTCTGTTTTATTTGTTATTGTTGCTGGGTTGTTTGTTTGTTTGGGGGGTTTTGTTATTCTTTATCTGAATTCCAGGATAGGTGATCTATAGACAGTAACTGGATTAATATAGTTTCCTAGGGTCATGGCAAGGAAGGTTGATGGAAAAAGGAGAGCGAATAATAATGAACAAAAGAAAACTGATTGTTGTGATGATTTCACAATGCTTTTTAGTATGTTTAAACTGCTGAATTGTATGATCTGCAAATTGTAGGTCAATACAACTCTTAATATTAAAAACAAAACCTTTCCAGGTTAAAACCAAAACCCCCCCCACAAATCCTAAATCTTTCAATAAGTCATTTTATCAGTAACATAAAATAATAAATAGTAACAAGCCCTAAGGAAATTAATAAAAGAGATTAAATGTGTTTGGGCTTGGTTCAGAAGGTTCACAGAAACCTATTTTTACCATTCAAATGAAAAGAGGACCAGAAAAATCTCCATGGCTACTACTCAACAGGCAAAACTTTGATCGTGTATCATTGGGTGGTTATTACTAATACAAGAATCTCCATGACTGTCTTTTAGAAGCAAGCTCTCCTTTATGAATAAAATAGTACTTGATTTACAACATTCAATGCACATGCAACTTCTTAGTCACATATATTGCAAAGTTACATCTGACTTGTTCAAATCATAAAACCTTCATGATTGGTTAGGTAAATAGGCTGCATGAAAAATCAGGATAGGATAAAACCAAAAGGTGGAAAAAGGCTAATGTCTGTTACTTCTGAAGAAACCATCCCCCTAAGTTTTCAGCCCCTTTTGCTTCTCAATACACTATGGAATTAAAATAAAAAGTCTTACAAGTTGCTGTAAATACATACCCATACTTCATTCTCATTCTGTCGTTTTCTGGATTGCAGTAAAATCTTTCCAAGTGCTCCTGGGAATCATTAGATACACTCTGCCATTTCTGTGTCGTCGTTCTCTTGACTTGCCAGTGATATGGCAATACTGTATGGTGTTTTAAACAATCCCTGCCATAAATACAAGTGCCTTGCAAGAATTCCATGCAAATTTCAACTCCATTTTCTTGGTGAGTGTGGTACTGTAACTGGTTTACCAGCTCAAACACCAGGTCAAGGGAAGCCTCTTCACTTTTGTCCTGGAAGAGTTCAGTACTCAACTTATCACTGGTGTCCAAAATGTACTGGATTGTAAAACTGTTGTCTTGAAAAATCCCTGGGACATAATCCATGACTTTGTCTATGCAGTCAGGACTAGCAGGGACATCACTTGAAACTGGATGCAAAAGGTCAGTCTGGAAGTGCCCTGCTGTAGAATCTGTCACTGTCCCACTGATGGTTTCTGGTGAAAAGTTGTGATCCTGGATTGGAACTACTTGCTCTGGAGCATCCGTGGGAGAATGAGATTCTGGTACTTGGTTCCCAACATTTGTCCCACCAGGAATCAGGACAGACATACTGCTTTCTGCTGGTGGACATGGTGCAGTCATTTCCAGGGGTTTTTTCACAATAGAGTCATGCAAGCTGCTATCATCTGCACTCTGGGTTCTGGATCTAAAAACGTCATCAAGTGAACCAGATTCAAGCAAAGTATTTAATATTGGCCTCAAAGACCTCAGAGTTCCGTTTCCCAATCTCTTCTGATCTGGCTTTTTCTTAAAACAAGTCTTCAATGGAGTGATCTTCTCAGAGAGTCTCATCTGGCATGAAAAGTCATCAGTAGGAGAGGGAGGCTGCACTACACAATCGGGTTCAGATTCAGGGGTTTCCATTTCCATGATGGTTATTAGCTCCAACTGCTCTGCTCCTCAGTCTGAAAATCCTACCAGGAAAGGAAGAAAGATGAGCATTTACAAAGTGACAACTAGACTCCACTCATTCATTAAGATGGTTTCATTCATTCATTAAGATGGCTTGGGTCTACGACTGAGTCCCCAAAATAATTTCTCTTGCCCTATCATCATTACTGGTCAGCTTTTAAATTTTATTGTGAAATCGGGGCCCCAAAGCATCATCACTTTAACTCACTGTCATCAAGTTGATTCCAACTCATAGCGACCCTATAAATCAGGGTAGATCTGTCCTTACGGGTTTCCAAGAATATGCTTGGAAATCCTGGTCTTTCTCCAGCACAGCAGCTGGTGGTTTCTAACTGCACACCTTGCAGTTAGCTGCCCAAAGTATAACTACTATGCCACCAGGGCTCCTCCAAAGCACTTAGGTGGTTTAAAAGCTCACAACAGGTAAAGATGGAAGAGAAATGATGTCTTCCAACAGACCCTTGGCATTTATTTGTAGACACAGATCAAATTCTAATTCTGTAGTGGTATGGACTTTCATATGGAGTTCTGGTGATGTAGTGGTTAAGCACTACAATGAGCAATGGAATGGGCAGCAGTTCAAAACCACCAGCAGCTCCGCAAGAGACAAAAATGGGCTTTGTACCCCCATTAACAGTGTCAGAAACCCACAGGGAGTCAATGAGTCAACAATGACTCCATGGCAGTGAGAGATGGACTTTCATTCTAAGGCTGGGGCAGGGCAGAAGGAACAACAGAAATAAGTGTGTCTGGCTGATGACAGTGGGGAAACCACTCAGTTTTGTAGTACTCTTCAGTTGTTTATGTATCTATGGCCAGTCTCCCCAGGTGACCGTGAGTAAATCAGGTGAACATTACATAGTTGAAAGTCTGTAGAAGCATTTCCATATTCTGAAAGTTCCCATATATTCACGAAGAAGGTTAAGGGCCTACTTTTGCAATCCCCAAAACATTACCACAGCTAGAGGGATACCAGGCCCTGTTAGCAACACAAGCCATCACAACAGCAACCACAGCGTGATGAGCTAGAAACCAAACAAATTTTGACACACCGAAAAGGCCTCTTAGGCCTGTCTTCAATAAAATCACATGCATATGCATTAAAAGCCAACAAAGACATATAAAATGAAGAATATGGAATCCATAAAGCCCCGATTCTTTCAGATTTTTAATGAACTACCGGAACAGAATAAAAAGTGCTTTATTGGATGACTCAGGTCATTTGAAAAAAAACCAAAACACTAGAATGTCAAATAAAAAGCAAATAAAGCTTTATAAGTAAAATATGGTGTCTTACCTACTATCTAGCACTCAACATTGACTCTGGAAATATTTAGTGAGCAGAAGGGATGATGACAAGCAATTATAATAACCCTCTTCTTTCTTGTCCAAGAAATATTTGATGCAAGGGCCCATACATTACTCAAATATGTTTCCCAGGTACCAAAATGGTGTACAACGCTCACACTGAGTGCTCAAGTTGATTGGCTTACAGAACAAACAATACAGTAGTTGGGTTATGGTGTGTTCCCGAGGGAGCATTAACTTAAGTGCCCAGTTCTTTGTTTCTCTTGATGGGTTAACAAGAACGGGAAAAAGGGCAAAATCGAATTTCCCTCCCTCCCCCAAAACGAACATTAAAATTTAATTGGGGGAGATCCAAGAACCCACGTGTGTTTAAGTGCCTAATAATCATAATGACAAAAAGATTGGGGGGGGGGAGAAGCCAATATATAACAAGGTGCTGATCTACATGGCAAGTGCAAAAGGAGGGGGGCGGGAAGAGTTCAGTGTGAGCTGGCATTGTTAGGGAAAGCTTCACGAAGGAGGGACTTGACATGAGACATAAATCAAGTGGAAAGCAGCCAACCCAGGCGTGATTATTCATCACTTGGTGCTCTTGCCTCAAGGCACAATTGGCACAGATTGTGGTATTCCCTCTCCACCACACCAAACCGGCCTGTGCCTTCCCCCACGCACACACACGAACCACTCCTCTCACGCCCAGTCAAGGCCAAACAGACACAAAACCAATTGCAGCACTACGTGTCTGCAAAACAAACAACTTTTCCGATCACTGACCAGTCGTCAAACGCTCCGAAGCAAAACTGGGGAGGAAGAGGCATTACCCTGGAGAAGCGACTGTAGTGAGGAAGCCACTAGAACCTAGTTCCTCAATTCGTTTGCATAACAGGAAAATAAAAGATTGGAGGAACATTTCCTCCGCTACAAGCGACCCACTGTGCCACCTTCACTTCCTGACGCCCCCACCC